TTCTGAGTCAGTTCTTCCTTGAGTAGAGTGGCAGTGCCAACTCAATAAAAGTTAAACCATGTTATCAGAGCGACACTAAAAAAAGGGAACAACCCATCAATAAGACAGTGAATAACCCAACACAAGGCACCGCGGTGCTAATGCTTATTTTCATTAAACTGACTGAATGAAACAAACTCAAGGGAACTTGATCTTACAGTTATCAATAATCACTAAGATTAGCAGGTAAAAGCTTGAATGTATAGAGCTATGAAAAAATGTAATTTGGTAAGCAGCACGTTTTCATTTTGGTAGTTGAGAGAAAAGGATTAAGCAGTAGATGGATAACTCAAGATGGAATCTAGGAACGTCGCCATCACTAATGTGTTATACTGACTTTCTGTCTATTTTTCTTATACAAAGAGTACAATCCCACCCTGTTAGCTTACTATCATTTGCCTTTGTCTTATTAAACTTGAGATGATCTCAATTTAAGCAATGAGAACTCCAAACCAAACTCACTGCCAAAGAGTAGATGCCGACGCAGAGCGATCCTATGAGAATGGTGAAGACTGTAATTGCTTACAGGAGTAGAAAGCTTCCCATCTATCCCCCAAGCAAGGCTAAGAGGTGCATGGTTTTTAAAGGTGATTTGGGTTGCTCCCAAAGGCCCAGCACTCATGTCATCTACTTCCATATGTGCTGTAGGCTTTGCATGCTAGAGAACTTGGTGGACGCTGACGGAGACATCAGCAAAACTCTGCTCTATTGACTCGTGGTGCTCAGACATTTAATCGAATGGTTAATTCGGTTTTCACTTACTATAATATGGAATAACCTAATTGTTATGAGTTATAAGTTAAAGGTATACATTGTCCTGTTTAAAACAACACAGTTTCCTTGAGCTCTGGTGGCGCAGTGGTTACTCATTGGGCTGCTAACCAAACGGTCAGCAGTTTGAAGCCACCAGCTGCTCCTCTGGGAGAAAGACGAGGCTTTCTATTTCTGCAGAGTTACAGTCTCCGAAAATCCCAGGGGAGGTCTACCCTGACCTTGAGCATTGCTGTAAGTTGGAAAAGACGCAACAGTAGTGTTTGGTTTTAGGAAAATTTAATTTCTCTGAAATACATTCTCCAGTTTTGAAAACAACAACACTATTAAAATTGTCTAAACAGAAGATCAATTTCTCCTTTCCTCAATTGGGTAACATGTACTGAGTATCTGCTGTGCCCTAACTGTTGTGGTTCCAGACCAAGGAGGACTTGTTTTTGTCCAGAGTTGAGTATCCAGTAGAGAGCTGTATGCCCAGACACTGGGATTATGAGACAATGAGATAAGTAATGTGGGCACAGACGGCCATGGGAGCACCGAACAGAGGGGCCACACTCCTAGAAGGATCAGGAATGAATTTCCTAAATGACTGCAATGGATTCTTCATCAAGGACAATAAGGCTCCAGTGACACAAAGCAGGGAGAGAGAAAGCAGACCTGGGAGAATGGCAATTGAGTGTATCGTTGAAACACACAGACTCTGAAGCCAGACTGCTTGGGTTGACCCTCCTATAACTACTACTTAACTGCTCTGTGCACTAGTCCTGCCATCTATGGAAAGGGCATATTGTGAACATCTGCTTTAAAGGACATTGTGGGAATGACTGAGTTTCTTTTTGTAAAGCACATCCTGAGCGCAACATACATGCTTGCTGGTAGCATAGTTGGAGTGTTTGTTCTTGACGTTGGTGGTAGAAGGTAAGAATGGCGAGTGAAGATGGGCTAATGAGGAGCGCTTCTCAACCTGTGAGCCATGACCCCTCTGGGAGTTGAATGACCCTTTCACAGGGGTCGCCCGATTCTCAACAGTGGCAAAATTACAGTTATGAAGTAGCAACGAAAATAATGTTATGGTTGGGGGGGCAGTCATCACAACATGAGGAACTGCATTAAAGTGTCACGGCATTAGGGAGGTTGAGAACCACTAGGCTAGAGAAAAGGGCACATGGTGAAATAGTTGGGAAGCCATTGTTAGATTTCAGATATGGGAATAATGGGCTATAGTTACACTTTACAGCTTTGGGTAAGAGCAGTCATAAGAATCGACAGTGGATGAAAAGGAAGTTAGGAGATGATTGGCCTTGGCCTTTGGTAAAAGCCTAAACTAAAGCCATCTGACAGGAGCGGAGAGAAAGCTTAGTTCAGGTCTTAGAGTCAACACAGGGAGAGATCAGGGACTGGGTGAACAAGCTGCTTCACTCCAGATAGAAGGGAGTTGAAAAAGAGAGTGCGTATCTTTTTGATTTTTATAGACACACAGTATTAAGCTTACTTCTTCCTCTCACCTTCCTCCCCAGACCCCCTAACTTTTTAAAAACAGGTTGAAATGACTTGAACTGTAGAATTAAGGATTTGGGAAAAGTTTCCCAATCCTGAAGACTGCTTAACCACCTGGCCTGGTCATTCCTAACCTAATCTAAGACCTTGAATTTCAATGACAATATTGAAAATGTAGAAGATCTCCTCTGGCCATTTTTTTGGTTTCTTTTTCTTCTCTGAAAATGTAGAGCCATTCTAGCTGGCCTCGTTTCCCCCTGGTGCTATGTGGTTCTCTGACATCAGCACAGATCTAGTCAGCTTTGACATATGATCCTGGCCGGCATGAGAAAGAGGAGGACGACGGCTGAGCCTGGGAGCAGGATGTGACGGCTAAGCTCCATACTAAGTGGCATCAGCAACAGGTGTTCCTTGGACCCAGAGTCAGGAATGGCTCCTTCCTCTATTTTTAAAACATGGGTAAGTAACTATTTCACAACTCTACAGAAAGGGTGAAATTTAGATGCTCATTGCTGCAAGATACAATCATCCAGCTCTGATGATTGCTACCATCAGGGTAGAGCACTTCTCTTTCTATTTTTGAAGTGGGAGATTCTCGTGCCTCTGGCAATGGTCCTGAGGTAGAAGGACAGATGCACTAAACTCTTAAAATTCATTTTAATATCTATGATAGTACATCGTCTAGGTGGCTAACTTGTATGCTTTTAAGAATGCGTCTATTCTGTCCCAGGAGGGCCATTAATCTTAGTAGATTGTCAGGGAATTGACAGTGACAGCATAATTGCTTTTTATTTTCAGTGTGGGCTGCCAAAGCATTGTAGTTCTGAAGCAGCAACAAGAGGCCACTTCCATCAAAGGTGGTTCCCCCAAATGTTCCACGCAGCACCAATCTTTCTTACACTACTAGTTTTCGTTCAGTGTCCGTACCACTCAAAAAACCAAACTCCCTGTCAGTGCCTTGAAGACAAATCAGTGACCCCGGTACCATAGAAAGGCCCAATATAGTTACTGAAAAGAGTCCATGTATAAGTATACCCATGTAGTTCAAATCTGTCTTGTTCTATGGTCAAATGTATTGCTCTATTTTTTGTGACAACCTAATTCTCAATCCCCATGTTCTCTTTAACCATTGCTGCTAACCTCAAGGTCAGTGGTTCGAATCCACCAGTCCTTCTTTAAGAGAAAGATGCGGCTGTCTGTTCCTGTAAAGATTTAATGTGCTGGAAAGCCACAAGGGCAGTTCTACTTTGCCCTATGTGGTCATGATGAGTGACCGTCAACTTTTAAGTTTGAATCCAAGCACAGATGTCCTGCCTTTGATTTGATCAGATCAGTAATATTGAGGAAACTTATATAAACTAGGCGCCCTGGTGGCGCAATGATTACATGTTGGGCATCTAACTGCAAGATTGGCAGTTTGAAACCACCAGTGGGCTCGGAGGGAGAAAGACGGGCCTTTATACTTCCATAAAGAGATATATTCTTGGGCACTCACAAGGGCAGCTCTTCCCAGTATTGACTTGATGGTGTTTTTTGTTTTAATCACAATGTACTTTTTGAAGGACAAAAAAGACCATTTTATTTTCATGTCCATCAGAATAGTGTACTGAGTTTACTTGGTAATTTTATCTAATTTTCAAAAGCTAGATAATCTATGGAGTTACTGCCATTCATTTTGTGTGTTCAGTCACTGGGCAGTTCTAATACTTTTCCTTTCCGACTCACTTTATTAGTGAAGCAGCAACAACAAACATGAGAAACATTACCCCCAAATGGATATATTTACCACATTATTTTTGTATGCCAAGTTTCTTTCCCCTCTTTCTTATAATTAGCAAGCTATTATGTTTGACCCTGGCAAAATATTTTAATTAGGCTGCCCATGGATATTTCAATAAACTTGCAATTTTTTTGACATTTCAAACATAACCTTGTGTCATTCATGTTTGCCACCTACTATTTTAAATGTAAAGCATGTTTCAGCTGCAGAAATTACCATGGTTACTTCTGAGGCCAATAGTGAACTGAAGTTGGCATTTGAAAGTATTGGGCTGTCTTGCTTTTGCGTTGAAAATGACATCAGTATCACAATGATTGCAATATTTTGAATTGATAATGGAACCCCTGAGGAAGTGTGACTATGATACAATTAGCCATAGAGTAGGAAGTTCTTTAGAACCGAAATATATTTAAGGGACTATAATGAGGGTACATTTATAATCTACAAGAGCTTATTTGTGGTAGCAAATACCACATGTATTTGCTAGCATTATTGTTGAATGGGATCAGTATCTTACTCTTTCCTTTTCATGGTCTACTCTCCTGTGGGAAATATGGACAAGTTTAGTCCTTCTTTGGCTGGAAAGTGATTCACACTGAATGTGAACTGATTAACAGAGAATGCAAATATATGGCTTGCTGGATTCTGGTGTATGGGGATGGTATCTAGGATTAAGTTAATTTGATCAGATTATGTCAAGCGGTCGACATTTTATTAAGGAACGTTTTAGTCAATAAATAGTTTTATTCCTTGAGGTTCTAGGTAGCTGCGCAAAGGTGCTTCAGAAATTCTTGGGGCTATTTTTCCATTTCTCACACAGACCTCTCAACTCTTTGTTCAAAAGACTGACTTCCTGTCACTCAGTTCCAGAAGAACGCTGAGGCATGACATGGCAGTACTGAAGTCTGCTTACCTGCACTGGTGCCTGCACCGGATGTGAGGTCTCCACCCATCAGACCACCTATGGATTAAAGACCAAGATCAACCAAAGAAGGCTAATGACCAACTAAACCAAACATTCTGCTGTTAGCAACCTCAGTATTCTGTCCTTTCCCGAGAGTCACAAAATTGTATAGTACTGTCTAAGTCAGATGTAATAGCTGACATTTGTTTTACTGTGGCATGCTGCGCTCCAACATTAAAAATACATTCAATCGCTGACATTTCACAGAATCTTTTTTAAAAGATTATATTTAAAGAATGCAGTCTTTGGCTTCTGCCTTTTTATTATTTAGAAGCTTAGTTTTTCCTAAAAAGATGTTTTATAGACAGTTTTTTAAAAAGGCCTACCATATGCTTACATAATCGTACATACAGTTGGTATAGTTCTTTGTAGATGAATATTACATGATAAATTCTGTGCAACGCTAATTATTCTGAGTTTGGCCATTCCAGGACCCTACCAACAACAACTTCAACAACTACTCACTACCTGAAGTTTACTTTTCCACTCACTGGCATGAGTCAATGCTGACTCCCAGTAAGCCCCTGTGGGTTTCTGAGGCTGTAACTGTTTAGGGAGTATAAAGCCCAGTCTTACTCACTCAGAGCTGCCTGTGGTTTTGAACTGCAGATAACAAGGATGGCAGCTCAACGCTTAACCACTACACCACCAGGGCGCCAAGATAAAATGAGTTTTGATTGGCCACATATTTAGAAACAGATGCTTACTCATTGTTCACTTAAAATGTGTTAAAGTTTGACAGTGTTTGCTTATGAGTAGGGTGTTTCAATAAGCTATTGAATGTAATAATTATTTACAATTTTTTAGGAATAATATTTAGCAACAAGAACAACAGTAAGAATATAACCTAAATTAACTTATAGTTGCTTTTAAGTGATACTCTGTAATTATTTATTCGTTTTTGAAATATTCATTACATCTGAAGAATATTGAAATTCTTTTCTTAAATTAGTGTATGAATAAACTGAAATGAGACCCAAATGCAGGCAGTCTTCGTTTCACTGTTTCACCTTACTGTGCTTTACAGACACCGTTTTTATAAACAAAACAAACAAAGAAAAAACCCACAAAAAGCAAAAAACAAATGAAAAGTTTGTAGAAATCCTGTGTGGAGCAAGTCTGTTCTTGCTTTCCCGACAGCATGTGCTCACTCTGTAACCCTGTGCCACATTTTGGTCTTCTCAGCGTATTTTGGACTTTTCCAATGCTACTTAATACACTATAGTCAGTGGGCATATACTTTTAGGTACACCAGGAAACTGGTAATAAAAAAAAGGGACTCGCTTTATTGTAATATTTACTTTACTATGGTGGTCTGGAACAGAATCCTAGTGGTGGTGTCAGGTAAGCATTGGCCCGCTAACTGTGAGGTTGGTGATTCAAACCCATCAACCCCTGGGAGGGAGAAAAGATGAGGCTATTTGCTCTTGTAAAGATTTACAGCATCAGAGCGCCTCTGTGGAGTTGCGATGAGTCTGAACTGACTTGATGGCAATAGGTCTGGATTTTAGGAACAGAGCCTGCGATATTTCCGAGTAACACTAAGTGGGCAGAATTACGGACACAGAGGATGGTTTCACAGCAGAAGTGCTGCCTCGATGGGAAGAGGAGGAGGAACAGAAGCAGTGGGGCCGAGATAGCGTATTTAGCACCTTGCCTGAGAGAGGATGCTGTCAAAATATGTATGCAAAGTACAGCCACATGAGGGGGTTGGGAGAAAGATGGGATTTAGAAAAAGAAGCTAAAGGATTTATTAGGCTTTATCATGTAAAAGAGTCAACAGTGGGTGGCAGGCAATGCGAAACACAACGGAAACCGGAAACATGTTGTAGGTAATATGGCTCTGGCTTCTTCGAACGACTGGTGAACAAGAGGGCCTCATCAGGACATACCTGTGTTACCTGCACTCGGAGGTCGATGTGTTACGCCAGGAGACATACTGTTCCTCTGCAGAGAAGGGTGGGCCAGTGGCAAAAGGTTGGGGTTTCCCAGTGAGCTGACGGGGTTGCTATATACCAGGCTGTTGTGACTGGACACTGGGATGGAGACGGGCATCTCAAAGTTGGGTGGTGGAACAGCCTGTGGAGCCAAAAGAAGCATGAGCGAAGGGGAACGAGCATAACAGAAGCCCTCCCGTCGTCAGCTTTCCCCCCTCCCCCCACAAAATTCCAAATTCCAACCCCCTTCGTGTCTAGAAGACCATAAAGAAGAGCTCTCAAGACGTTCAGCTCGTAAATGGATTCTTTTAATGTGCTTGGAACACTTTCTCTGCAACTATTAAAAAATGTTTCACTTTTGTTTAAGACAAAGCCCCGTTTCGTTAGACACCATTGTCTTTGAATTCCATTCCATTAAGTAATAATTGTTCATCTGTGATATCTGAATCTGGTGCCAGAAATGACTGTAAGATCAAAGGTACATGCTGGTGAGGACTTCACAGAGAAAAAGGAGGCTTAAAATGCTAACCGGAGCCTTCAGGTTTAATTGCTTATTGAAGCATATTTATGCAGAAGTTTAATGATATAAAATCATCTCCAGGCACGTGAATAGCACATATACCCTAATTATTATTTTTTAAAGCCTGTCTTCAAAAGTAATTCTAAAGATAACAGACATTTTAAGGTACAGGATTCAACAGAGCATGTATCATTCAATAATTCACATTTAAAAATGATAGCCCAGAATATATGTTGCTTTTCACACTTGGAGATATACTGCCCTGACAAATGGTGAGACCCTTCTCTCAAAATGAGAGGGCTGGCATATGAACACACTGTTTGAATACTGACAGGGGACTCATGAAGGCGGAGCGTGCAGCAGCATTTTCAATATGAAAGGGATATGTATGATAACTATATTAGAATTGGGGCTTATGTACAGCATTCCCTCAGGGGTTCTCAATCCCTGGTACAAGTTTAAATGTATATGTGCATGTGGCCCAAACACGTTAGCTTTAAAATTCCTTTGCTATGGTCCTAATCTTAGCCTACTGAATGATTGGCTGGCCTGCATCAGATTCAGTAATTTATAGTAATACTTTGTATCCTGGCAATGATCATGCTGTTAGTTATAGTCCCTTAATCCTTTCTTCTATCATAGGAACAGATTAATGTTTCTAAGAGTAAATGTTCACCTTTCTTTTTTTTTTATGTCTTTGAGTCTTCATTGTTTTAGAAGGAAATTAAAATGTTCAGGTGATATGTTAATATAGTCATTTTTTATTGAACTTTATCTTCTATAAGCAGGGCATACAAAGAATTTTTAGTTATATACAGTGATATAGTGAAATATAGATGCTTGATAAAATAGAAAAAAACATAAAATATATTACTATTTAGCATTATAATGAAAGAATAGAGTATTTTATTCACTCTGTAGACATGAGGATGCCTGGTGTGACTACACATTAGGCTGCCAGTCACAAGGTCAAGGTCAACAGTTTGAAAGCACCAGCCACTCCTTGGAAGAAAGATGGAGCTTTCTACTCCAGTAAAGAATTAGTCTCAGACGCCCACAGGGGTGTTTCTATGCTGCCCTTTACAGGGTTGTTATGGGTCAGAATTGACTCTCTGGCATGAAGTCTGAGTCAGTCTATAAACATTCAATCTACAGCACATATTAATTTTGTTTGTTTGTTCAAAAAGGCTCTAGAAATGTGAGGCTATCTTCTCTTATATCCAATGTGCTATTGTCCAACGCCACTGAGTGAGTTTGACGCTGTGGGGCCCTGTGCACGGTAATGTGAAAATACTGCGTACTCGCTGTCATCCTCACCACAGCCTAGCACGTTTGACCCTCGTGTTGCACCTGCGGAATCAATCTAAACAAGGACCTTCTTTTGCGTGGCCTCTCTACTTTATCAAGCATGATGTTTCTTCTCCAGGATTTAACTCTTCGATAACATATCTAAGGTATGGGAGAGCATTCTAGCTGTACTTCTAAGACAAGTTCGTTTGTTCTTCTAGCATTCCATGGTCAATTCAATATTCTTTGATACCACCATATTCAAAGATGGCAGTTTTTTTCTTGCCTTCCTTACTGAGGTAGTTAGTTTATTGTGCCAACCTGGCCGATAAACACATGGGGTTAATTGAAGGGCAGAGGGATAAATGGCTCGGTGAGCTTCGCCTTTCTAGTTCTTGGGTCTCTTGCTTTCTGAGTCGGACCAGGGTGCAGCTGCCTGCTTCAGTTGGCAAGGCTCACTTCCTGCAAGACATACCTGAGCAGAAGCTGCATGGACCTACCCCGATGCAGCCCTGGGTGCTGGTGCACCCATGTGGAGACCCCTGCCAGCGCTGAGATGCTTAAACGTTCACTGACTCGGCTTTTCTCCTGCAGTCAGCATCATTGCGTCTGTTTTGTGAGATGGAGGAGGACTTTGTGGACTGGTGTCGGACATATGGGTTAATAGGTTAATGTTGGACTTGTGGCTTGGGCAGCACTGGGTTGGGATGTTTTCTTGATGTGCATTTACCCTTCCTATAAAACTCTCTCTTATACATGAGTTTCTATGGCTTTGTTTCTCTAAAGTACCCAGACTAACACACTTATTCACTGTGCAGCTTTCACACAGATTTTGGGCAACTGATTTTGGGTCAGGAGCACATTCGTTTTTAAAATGATACCTTTGCTTTTTAATACTTCAGAGAGATCTTTTGAAGCAGATATGCCCAATGCAATAACCCTTTGATCTCTTCACTGCTGCTCCTATCAGTGTTAATTGTGGATCCAAGTAAAAAGAAATTTTGACGACTTCAATCATTTCTCTGTTTATCATGATGCCCTGTAGTAGGGTCAGGTGTGAGGACTTCTGTTTTCTTTTGATTGAGCTGCAATCGACACTAGAAGGCGTGGTTCTTGATCTTCCTCGGTAAGTGGTTCAGGTCCTCTTCACTCTCTGCATGGAAAGATGTGTCCTCTGCATATTGCAGGCTTTCTCTAACCAGGAGGCCCTGGTTCTTCTTTAGAGAGCCCACCTTCTTGTATTATTTGCTCAGCCTACAGGTTTAATAAGTAGGATGGAAGAATATAATACTGGCACACAGCTGTCCTGATGCTAAATCACTCAGTACCCTCTTTGTCCTGCTTGAACAACTCTCTCTTGGGCAATGGACAGGTTCCACGTGAGCACAATTAAGTGTGTTTGAATTATCAGTCTTTGCCATGTTATCCATAGTTAGTTATGATTCACAGTTAGATGCCTTTACATGTAAAACATCAGTACAAGTCGTTCTGGTGTCCTCTGCTTTCAGTCAAGATCCATCTCAGATCAACAAACAGTAATATCTTATTTCAGCTTCTCACTGAATCCAATTTGAATCACCTGTTACTGCCCTGTAGCAAACGTTTTGAATGATCTTCAGCTAAATTGTGGTTGTGTGTGCCACTAGTGATATTGTACTATAATGTCTGCGTCCTGTTGGATCACCATTCTTTGGAACGGGTAGCCGCATGGCTCTCTTCCGGTTGGTTGATGATGTCGCTGTCCTCCCCATTCTGTGGCCTAGATGAGCGAACACTTCTACATGTACATAAGTTTGCTGGAACATTTCAATTTGTTTTTCATCAGTTTTAGCCACCTCGTTTTTTACAAATGTCTTCAGTACAGTTTGAATCTTCCTCTAATACACCTGTCTTTGGTCACTACCATTTACTGAGTCATTCCATTCAAGGACTTGAGCTAAGCTCTTGGTTTAATACAATCTCCTATAAAACAACATCTCTGAATATTCTACACAATGTTGATTGTATCTCATAGGGATCAAAACCTGTTATCCACCCACCCCCCGCCCCACCAGGATATATGCACAGCTTAAATAACGGTGATTATTATTATGAGTGAATTCTTAAATCATTCTGACCACCATTTAAGTGTGAGTCTTTCTACATCTACTCCTGCTTCCTCTGACAACGCCCCCCCCCAAAAAAAAAATTAGTTTCCAGTGTTTTGGACTGCAAAAATTTAATCATAATTATTGTAAAATGCACTTGTGATTGGTTAAACAATAGTCAAATGTAATTCTGATTTCGGAGAATATGATAAAAACTAGAATTCATAATCTATATATCTTTTGTATTCTCTCTAGTTCATGCTTTATTTCCTTATCAGCATCATTAATGAAGCATAATAATTTTGAAAGCAAGTTATAAGTTTAAGAAATGACCATACTGAAAAAATATCTCAGCAAATCAGACAGAACATCTCCTTTCATATCTGAAAACTGCTTTATAGTCCAGGCTATGCAGTAAGTTGCCATTGAGCCAGACAGATCATCTATTATCCTTGTGGCTCTATTTCCTTATTGAAGATACAAAGTGGTTGCATCCCTAAAGAGATCACCCTGTTCTAAACATTTCTTGGAATGCAAGGAAACTTCATTGTTGGGTGGCGCCGTTGACTTAAATTCTGACTCAATGGCCCCATGTGAAGAGAAGTGCTGCCCATGGCTTTCTTGGCTGTACTCCTTATGGAAGCAGCTCACCAGCTTTCTCCTCCAGCCACTGGTGGGTTTGAACCACTGATCTCTTGGTGAGCAGCTGGGTGCTTAACTACAATCCCACCAGGATTCCTTAAATGACCTATAATACTGTATAAATGTTAACAGGAAATTTGTTAATCTTTTCTCTTTTTTTTCCATCTCCATATTAGGAACTGTAAAAGTAATTTCCCCCCTAAAATATTAAAGCAGGAAGTAGACAAAACTTCATTACTTGCAAAGGTGTCAGGACTCAGCTCTGAATCTTTGGAACACTCAAGAGAGGAAGGAAGAAATTTGGGTGATAAAATAAACTGCTGTAGGCAGACCTCACTACATAATTTGCAAGGCTCAGTGCAAAATGAAGAGGTGGGACCCTGAGTTAAAAGTTACTAAGAATTTTAAGCCTGTGACAACTGCACATTGACTCGCTGGGCCCTCGGAGCGCAGGGTCCAGTGCAGCCAGGGCAGAGCAGGGCTCTTGCGGCCCACCTGCTTTAGAGAGACACAGGTGTGGCAGCCCCCAAACACCTAGTGTCTATCCTTGGACTGAAGTGAGTCATCGTGGTTAGAAAGGTATTCTTATCCAAAACCCACTGTTTC